TAGTGTACATATGGGCTCCTCGATCGAGGATGCATATTCGAAGAGATCATTCTAGTGTACTTTAGTTTTGAGGAAGTATTCACCTAAATCCTTTCATGGCAATTGTCGAGGATAGATCATTCTGATGGTGATGGCTCTCGAGCGCAGACACCATTAGAAGACCATATGGTTCTCTGATCCATGATATGAGCAACTACTCATGCACTTGTAAATTTATTAGTGAGTAATAAATTATCATAGCATGAGAAATGGTGTGGAATAGAATATACTATTGAGGGACTCTGCCCCCTTGAAAAACAGCCATTTTGAGATATAAAATGTAAGAAGCGGAAAGATCTCACCATGATATGAGCAAGGCTATTGAAGCCATGGTTTGGTTAGCTCAAACAGCTGTGGAAGAATGTTGCAGACCCCTGAAGAGTCATAGAGATTTGTCATGGAGCTTTGACCATCAGATGTGAAAGTCTTTGCGGCTTCGCAATAGCAAGTTCGAGCTAGTTGTTCAGTAGAGTATGTACAACGATCCACTGCGACTCAGGGCTCATGGAAGAGGAACCATCCTGCACTATGACCTTTAGAGCATATTACCGACAACCGTAAGTAAGAGAGGAATATCTACCCCCTTTCAAAAGGAAGGAAAGGAACATGACTTCGTGGAAAGTAAACAAAGCCAGATATTTATAACAGCCGTGGCATCATGCTTCATGACTAATATGCGATGATGCAAGTAATAAGTCATGCATCTGAGAAAGAATTTTTGTGCAAGCAGTTTTCATGTGAAAGTTCTAGGACGCTGAAGAGGTCCAAGCAACACATATGTCTAATGAACTATCGTAACACTCATATTGTAATGTCGATGTTCGTATATTTAGGAATTAATGTTGTAAGAAAATCATATCACTTATCTGTTGGCACTCTTTCAGGGGTATCCATGAGTTAGAGTAGTAATACTCATTTGTCGAGAGACTCCACAAGCCGCTTGAGGGAGCTCGTTCTTGACACGCGCCGTGTATTGGTCCTCTATTTGTTGGAGGCTACTATGGTCTGATCACACTCTTGAATCATAGAGGGACTATCCTCGTTCTCGCATTTCTGTAAGTTCTGCAAAAATAGATTGAAGTTCTCCCCAAAATCGAGCATGCCTTTGTGATAGAAGGCCCTGCATAACTATTCTCAAGATTATACAGTAACAACTTTTCGAGAAATACGGAGGCAATTGACATAATGTGCTATGGTCAAGATCTAGATTGCAAATAGCAATTATGCTCCACTCGAGAAAGCATAGATGTCACGACATTGTGATTTTACCTTAAGTATTGATTCGTGTGAGAGCTAGGTAACGGTTGATCATGGATATAATGATACAAAGACTAGCAAATTCACACGTTACATGTATACACAATAGGTTAACAATTAACTCAGTCGACGATTGGTAGTCTATGTGATTTGAGACATTAATTCATATAATATGCTATTTATGCAAGGAGATAGTAGCCATATAGCATGTAAATGTTAAGGAGATAATAACACTTATCTACTTTTTCGAGCAGGTCATTGCCCCTTGGAATGGGTTGTTTCGTAATTCGAGAAAGATGCTTCTCGAATTGTCTTGTTGTAAGGCCTGCAAAGCTAAGTAGTATAACTGCGCCACGCTCGGGCAGGTTATTATAACTACACACATTTCGTTAGATCACCTCAAGGGAGGCACTGAGTAATTTGAAGAACATAACTAGAATTGTATTCGTTATAGAAGTCCAATTAGGAATACGACAACATGGAACGAATATGTTTAGAGCTACTTATCTCCTTTCAAATCAGTCGAGGGGATTGTCTCTACCCTTGTCATAGGGCTAGGTGTGTGTGATCATGACTGTATGTGCCCTCGGTCTCTCAAAACATCGAGCTATGCTTGCATAGCTATTCACTTCGAACAAAACATTAGTTGTTCTAATAATAAGGTAGTTAGACCCTTGGTGAGTATACATGAATTGTGCACGGCTTAAAATGAAACAAGCATGCAAATGCAATGTTCTGATATAAGAATAGGGCAAGTAGTACCCCAAAATCAGTGAGCTGTGCATGCAATTCAATTTGTAAACCCTCATGTTTGCTGTGATGGCAAAGAGGTATTGATTCATACAAGTATGTAAGAAAACCTTATTATGTAGCATTCAATTGACATGCTACTACTACGATTATGTATCAACAATAAGCTCGCTTAGGCATAGTATGTGTATTTATGCACAATGATGGCTGAGATTTAAATTTGTTGCCCTCAAACTGAATAAGTTTGGAAGCCAATAATGTGTGACATGAATTTATTTGTAATAGGAGGTTACGATAACTCATCTGCCATTAAAACCTCTGCCTCGTGCAATTGTGTGATGAGGGGTGTTCAGCTTATGCTACCAAAAACAAACAAGTGGCCTCGTGCCCAAGTCTCGAGGGAGGCGTGCGCCTGTCTGAGGAGATGTGACCTTTGAGATATCAGGTCGCCCCTTGCTGTAAAGTTAGGACTTGTATGAAGAATAATAAATCCATTAGAGGCAAGAATGATAAATAATATATGAAAGGATTGAATCATAAATTCTGCTTAGTTGAAGGGAATTTTGCCCAAGTATGTCCTTTGATGGTCCAGGGGCCATTCTGTGCATTCAAAAGATTTTAGCGTGAGAGTATAAATAACAAAATTACTAAGGACCGTTTTTATAATTTTCAGGAAATTTAGAATCCCTGTCGAGCGGGCTGTGGCTGCTTGGATTTCTGTCGGAACTGGAGGCTTCGTAGTCCTCGCTGATTGATTTGTTTCTCGATCTTGTTTTATTCGAGGAGGCTGTGTAGTCTCTCGAACCAAGGTTGATGGGCAGTAATTTCCTTAGTCAACCATAAACTCAAAAGATTTATCGTAAAAAATCATGGTTAATAAGAATAGAACGATGATGCTCAGATATGGAATTAAGAAACTCATGTCAATAGGTACAACATGTAAATAGGATCCTCAGGCAACCACGATCCATGGCACAGAATTAAAGAAATCCAAAAAAGGCAATAGAAGAATGACATTGATTCGTCATGACACGACTATTATGCGTATATTATATTTAAAGTCTCAGGCTATTCATGTTGCTAACGAGAACGTAGTTTTTCTCAAATTATTATGATCAATAGATCTAGGTAAAAGAAATTGTATTCCCAAAATTCTAGAGGAGAAAGTCGAGCAAACGAGTATGTAAAGTGAAGTCATGTCATCGAGAGTCATACGCATGTATGTATAGTCATCAATTTTTCAGGCACACCAGCTCGAGCATGCATGTAAAAAAAAATTAAATTATTGTGCTCGTTTCATGATTTTTCTTAATAGCTGATGTTAATATTAGATCAGAGGACAAAACCTGGACGGTATATTTTAGTGTTTCCTTCGAACCTGAGAGCGTTGTGCTCGCGGTTGAACAACAAAGTATCTTCCTCTCGAATCCTTCCGAGAAATGATATCAGGGTAGGTGGTCCCTTCGAGAAGATTGTAAACTCGAGCAACTTGTCTGGTGCCCCTTGCCTCGAAGTCATGAGGACCTGTATGTAAGCTTACAAAAATACGGTCAAAATTCTGATAAACTTATAAAATTATGAATTGTAAGGGCAAGTTTGTTCATGAAATTTATCAAACTTGTCGAAACTTTCACGGTGAAACTGATTCATGCTCCTATTCTCTGTTTGCTTTTTGCTGGCGTTGCTCGAACATTGGAGGGTTAGTCAGATTTAAGATCCGATTAAATTTCATTATCAGATCGTCGTACTTCTTAAGGCTTCACGTTTGATAAAAAGTGGGTGCCGGAGCCGCTCTTTCCGTTTCTCGTGTGGATGGTAGAGGCTTTTTACGAACTCTACACCAAAATAAACCAAAAGCAAAGAAAAGCAAGGAACGGTGTGGCCTCCATGACAAGATGTTAACTTTGCATATATTAGCGCTTAATTAATTCTTGCAACATGGTGTGCTTAATTAATTAATATCAGCTACCTACGACTTGCCTCTTAATTAATCAGATAAGTGAAGTATATCAAATTCGTTCATTGTTCCAGAGGTTTTCATCATGCAGCCACTTATATCATGATTTCAAAACGCAAAACCTGGAAGCCATAGACAGAGATATGGGCGCAGCTACACCTTTGTCGGGAAGGAGAGAAACCCTAGCGGGTCCCACTGGGCGTGCCACTTGACGAAGTATGGATCTGCACCAACGTCTCCAATTGGTTGAACCGGAGGCTATGACGGAGTCAAAACCCTAAAACCTGCAAAAGAGGGCCTCGGGGTCTCCCGAGAGTAGACATTCCGATGCTTAAGTCAGTAAGAGTAATTGTTAATAGGGTATGAATTGTGGTGCGTAGAGCATATTTTTAATCGTGAAGGGTTGATCACTATTTATAGAGGTAGGTTAGGGAACCCTTTCTTAGTAGAAAAATAATTAAGAACCGACCTAGAAGTTTCCAGAGGTCGATTGGACCTTTTATCGAGTTTGGGCCGGTTTAGTCGCGAGCCGCACTAATTTGGACTCGTCGAAGGGGAACCTGGCGCCCCAACACATTATTACAAATACAACTTAAAAACTAACACTGAAAAGGTAAAAAGAAGAAACTTCTTAAAACAAAGAACTTACAGTCCATTGATCCAGTAGTGGCTTAATTTGTTGGTAGTTACATTTCCTACTTACGATGAAAGGGATACGAACTTTGTGTTTGTCATTGCTTCATATGATTGAACCATGTGGATCACAAGCTTTGAATGGAGCATCATCTATGAAAGTCACTTGTATAACTGAGCTTCTTCTGGTTTTTGGTGAATTTCAGATTTCTCGGACGCGTCATCAATGCTTAAAAATGACGTTGGACTATTTTTTTTTTTTTTTGTTTTTTTTTCATTAGTTCCTTTACTCTCCTTTTTAAAAATAATAAATAAGCTGTGCCTTGGCTTCAATAATGTTCTTTTTGTATGTTGAATTGCATTGGTCCAAGAACTGTATTGGGCACTTATTCGCACTACCAATAAAGTTGTTTAAATTCTTCTTCTTTACCTTTTAACCCAAAGCGCCACATCTTTTTGTCGGGAGCCAAATTATGTTTGTTTCATTGTATCTACAAAGTTAAGATCGAAACTCTTTCAGAAATCATGATGAATAATGGCATCATCCATCTTCTTCTTCTCCTGCTTCTTTGGCTTCATCTTTCATCTCTCTGCTTGTTCAGTAATCTTCTTCTTTTGCTTCCCATTTTGCCAATTTTGAGGCGCACCCTTTTAAAGATTCATCCCAAAACAAGAAGGAAAAATGACCACTCCGCTCGCGTTATTGCTTGTGTTGACTCTGTCTTTCACGATTTGGAGTTGCAGCTGAATGATCTGTTGCCTCAATTTGATTTGCAGCTTTTCCACTTTGATTTGGCGAGACATAAGTTAGAGAAGATCAAAGCGTTCGTTGTTGTTTCTGGCACACAATTGGATCACATGGATGTTGCAAAACTGGCATCTTTCTGGCTAAGGATTGAAACCACGGTTTCCAAATATGGCAATCAAATCCGCCCTCTTCTCCGTTATTCTTATTTCAATCGCAATCTTCCTGATTCTCATAAGAACATCATTTTTGAATTCCTAGCTGAAATCTCTTCCTTGGAGGGCGAAACAGCTGAGTGGTACGTCACCATGGCGGATTCCTTGTATTTGCGACAACAATCAGTAGTAATTAGTTGTAGCTCTCTTGTTACCACAGATGAAGTCTTGACCATCATGAGTTTCAGTTTTGAGATTCTAGATTCGCTTCGCCAAAGTGAATTAACTGTACAAGGGGAAGCCTTAGTTGAGCAGATGACATTCTTACAAAGTCTCATCCGCTTTGTTGGTGATGACACTCAAGATTTGTTGATTCAAGAATTTCTGGTTCATGTTAAAGTACTTGCTGTCCAAATCCATGTCCTGTTTATGTGCCCTGAAGCACTTGATGGTGAGCTTGAGGAGGAGAGTCTCAGTGATGATGATGATGATGATGATGAAAGACCTAATGACATAGTTTTAACCTTGTTGCAAAAGATCAAACCAACTGACAACTTTGTATATCAGGCTTACACTCAAGCCTTAATTAGCTCAAAGTTATCAAGACAATCACTTGCTCCCAATGATCTAGACATGGACCCTGACGCTTTCAAAGCAACCAAGAACTTCCTTGATTCTATCATATCTTATCTCTGGGAGATATTATTAGGCAATTGTGTTCATCCCTTTTCTATAAAAGATCAACTGCAAGAGCTCTATGGAGGATTGAAGACCTTGAGAACCACTATAAAGCAACAGCAGCTTCCAAACAAGCTTGCGAATAACATTGGAATCGTGTTATGCGATGCTGGAGCCTTGGTTTTCTCTTTGTACCAGAGACATAGAGGACCTGATCTTGGACTGCTTCAGGAACTCTTAAAGACAATTAAGGCTACTCTGGTACAACTTGGAGTGAAAGATCCACAATCACCGGTTTTCTACTTTCAGAAGACTAATCAGTTGGATTTTGTTGATTCTGTTCTGGAACAACTAACAGAATTAACAGGACGGGGAGATAAACAACCTAGAAATAGGAGTCATTGTCTTCTGGTTCTTAACGACAAACTTGTCTCCTTCAGATCTTTCTTGGGGGACATTGTGGAGTTGCGCCACCAGTATGTGGAATTTCAAACTCTCTGGGATCGTGTTTTAGAGGTCGCGTACAGAGTGGAGGGTCTCGTTGGCCAACTATTGGTTGATGACCATCAAGATTCATTTTCATCCTCACTTGTTTCCACAATGAAGGACATCCAGGGAATCCAGGCTGAAATCGAAGTCAAGAGATCAGAAATCAAGGTCAAGAGACAAGAACTAACAGAGGTCACCGAGACTTGCAATCTGCTACCATCATCACAAAAACCTCTCTTACCAACAACAAATGAGTTTGTCGGATTTATGGATGATGCGAGATCAGTGCTGGATCGACTCACAAGAGGATCGGCACATTTGCAAATCATTGCCATTGTCGGTATGCCAGGGATGGGTAAGACCACATTAGCTACCAAGATTTACAATGACTATTATGTTTCGTGCTTTTTTTCTGTTCGTGCATGGAGTCAAATCTCGCAAACAGTGGACAGAAAGAAAATTTTAGGCAACCTTATAAATCAGGTTGATCCTAACAATAAATATCCTGAGCTTGGTGAACAGGATTTAGTGCAAATACTCTGGCGCAAGTTGAAAGGAAAAAGATATCTCATCCTTTTGGATGATATATGGGACAATGAAGCGTGGAAGATCTTGGCAGCTTCATTTCCTGATGACAATGCTAAAAGTAGAATTCTTCTCACCAGTCGTCATAGTGATGTCGCTCCTCGTGAGATGATGGTCGACCAAAAACCTTACGCTCTTCGGCCACTCAATGAAGAAGAGAGTATAGAGTTACTGCAGAAGAAGTTATTCAAGGAAAATGTTGGCTGGCATCCTACATTTCGTGCTTTTGGATCAAAAATTGCTGAACGTTGTCGGGGAGTACCTTTAATGATCATCATTGTAGCTGGAATACTAGAAAATACAGCTCCAGAAGGTTGGAAAGGAGTTCTGGATGATTTAAACTCTGGAAATTTATCCATTACAGATCACTGCAGGAGAACGTTGGATCTGAGCTATGAATGTTTACCAGATGATTTAAGGCAATGTTTTCTCTATTTTCGAGCATTTCCAGAAGATGAAGAGATTCCAGCCAAAAGGTTATTTTATTTATGGACAGCAGAAGGCTTTTTCCGGAGAGATAAGGATGAGCGCATGGAAGATATTGCTGAAGAGTACTTAAATAGTTTGATCGGTAGAAATTTGATTGTGGTTGCCAAACGAAGATGGGATGGTGGAGTCAAAGCATGCCGCATTCATGACTTGCTTCGTGAATTTTGTTTACATAAAGCCAGTGAGGAACATTTTCTTCATGTTCTCAAAGGATATGATGATCTTTTGGCATTTAATGAGCCATACGGACTTCAGAGGTTAAGCATTCACTCAGAGGTACACCATTTGAAGGAGTCGAAATTATTTTGTCCTCGTGTACGTTCTTTGCTTTTCCACTCCTCTGAAAAGAAAAGGCGAGAAATCTCATTGAGGATTCACAGCTTTAAACATCTGAGAGTGCTGGATTTGGAGCAATGCCCTCTTAAAGTTTCGTTCTCACGAGAATTAGAACTTCTTGTTCAGCTCACTTTCCTTGCAATTCACTGTGAGTTTGGCAACCGCAGCGTATCATCCATATGTAAGCTATCAAATCTGGAAACTCTTATTGTGAATACAGCTGACAAACAATTTTCTTTGCCACACAGTGTTTGGAATCTACAAAAGTTAAAGTACCTTTGCATAAGGAACTTTTCGTGTACTTTGCCCATTGAAAATCTTGATGCCTCATCTGTTTTATATGATTTGGATAGGCTGTGTGGTGTTGTAATTCCTTATTGGGGCAGCATGGAAAAGCTATTTAGAAAGTTTCCAAACGTCCGTAGGTTGAAGTGCATGGTGTTTGAGCATCAGGATAATCTAGAAAACCTTGACAAGATTGTGTTTCCTGAGTTTTTGAGTCAACTAAAATCACTTCATGTGTTTGGTAGATGTCCATCGTATCTTCCCATTACAGTTGATTTGAATTTTCCTGCACATCTCAAAAACCTGAGTTTGTCAGTGTTTCATTTGTCTTCAAAGAATATGTCAGCCATTGGTGAATTGCCCAACCTTCAAGTACTCAAATTATCGAGGATATCCTTTGATGGGAACACATGGGAAATGAGAGAAGGGGAATTCTGCAAACTTAGAATCTTGAAATTGTGTTACCTTGAGAGCCTTGTCATCTGGAGAGCTTGTGATGATCAAATGGTCTGTCTTCAGGAGTTGATGTTAGATCGATGTAAAAAGTTGGAAGAGATGCCTTGTTTTCTAGAGTCCATTGCAACGCTTGAAACGATTAGTGTCTTTTATTCTTCGGATGCTTCAATAAAGTTTGTGAGGAAGATTGAGCAAGAACAGGAGCAGTGGGGAAACCAACTCAAGGTCATAATAAGGAATTGATTTTTCTCCGCCTCTTCAGGTAGCCACCCTCATGGCCTCATATATTTATTTAAATATTGAGTTCATGATTTGCATTCTATTATGTTATTTGAGTCGATATTGACGAGCGTTTCCATTTGAATATATGGTCCCAATTATCTATTTCTTTTCAACATTGCCTTTTGATAATATGTGCTACCCATTCAATCATGACTTGAACTGTTACACCCTTCGTTTCTAATGAAAAACTGCAGACTCTTACTTATCTAATTTGGTTCACCATTTAGTCTCATATGTGCTGGTTGTGTAAGGAGTGGCAAATCTGTATGCATTTGTGTTTTTGTGACTGCTACAAATGGTGCAGCTGAGAATGCATGAAATGTGCAGCATACAAATATAAAATAGATGCAGCAGTTATGCCCCCGTGGTTTTATACAGTGACAGTTAATAATTTTCAGATAACAAAAAAAATTGAACATTGAGCTCTTTTGTGCATACTACTCGGCCTGTTGAAGTCATCATACTAGAAAGCTGAGGCGTATTTGTTGTCTAGAAAATACCCTAAAACTCTCATTTCCCAATGGTTCTTTCAGTCTTAGGTATTTTGGAGTAAAAATATCACTACTGATCCAATGTGACAGTCTCTGATGAAGTAATAAGGAAAGACAATGTTGTCGTCTGTTTATTGTTGCTGAAATCAGTTCAATACTTCAAAGACATCTGTTTTTAATCCTTTTCTTTTCCCTGAATGCTTGCGATATATTGTGAAGTAAGATTCATTGATCTATTATTGATCTTGCAGCTTGAGGAAGTTGTTTCATAATGACCCGACTGAGATATGCTTTTCCTCCCTTGTCTCGTCTTTTCAGACTTGTCTTTTACTTTGCTGCTTTCTCCTTAGTCCTTGGCTCCTTTCTACTTGAACCAAGGTTTAGAAAGTTGGGCTCTAGTAATGCAGAAACACGGCAGAGTTATTTCACTCATCATTCAACTGCTTCGCTTCGCTCCTTGTAGTTGTATAACCAATGTTCTGGACTGCAACAAAATTCTTGTTTGCTTCGAGGGAATTAGTCTTTTGGGATTTTGTTTTTCCCGTTAATACCGGAGGTAGCTTGAATCACTGTTGAAGTTCCTACGAATGTGCTGCATATTTAGTGTGTGTTTCACGGATTAAGAAAGTTGACTTAATTGATTTCATGATTCTGAAAATGTATTTAGAAGTACTCGGTTGCTCCCAGCTTTGCCCATTGCTTTTTTTTTTTTTGTGTGTGTGTGTGTGTGTAGGATGTACAGAATAACAGAAAGAGGATAGCCATTAGTTTGCTAGAGGGAACATCGCTATCTGCTGCATTCTATCAAGTGAACGGGTCATCTCCTCAATGATAATAGCACTTTGGTAATGTTCTTGGAAGTTGTTGTAAGAAATTGATGAGTGAAATTTAACCTTCCATGGAAAGAGTACATTTAAGTTTTAACCCATTCTTACAAATACAATTCTAAACTAGCACAGAAAAAGTAAGAAGAAACTTTCTAATTAAAACAAAAAGCTTACAGTCCACTAATCCAAGGATACGAATACATTTTGTTGGCTGTAACATTTCTAGCATCTTACGATGAAAGGGATACGAACTTTGTGTTTGTCATTGCTCCATATGATTGAACCATGGGGATCACAAGCTTTGAATGGAGGAGCATCTGTGAAAGTCACTGTATAACTTAGCTTCTTTTGGTGTTTGGTGAATATCAGCTCAGTAGGACTCACTATGATTTCCAATTTCTCGGACGCTTCAAAACTTACTCGATACACTGATTCTTCGTCGCCAACATTTGTGACGGTCCTTGTAACTGTCCGATTCTGCCTGAACGATGGAAAGACAGATATTGAGGGGTAATTCATGTTTGACATCGATTCTTCCTTGGGATCACTTGGGCAAGAAAAGTTGGTTGGAAACTTTGATGAAATGAGTTTGAGCCTTGATGCATTGTAGCCCTGGTTGCAGAGGAACAGTAGATAATCGGCTATTTCGGTCTCATAAACTAACCCTGGCTGTAATGGACCAAATATTGTTACTTCACCAGAACCATATTCGTCTGGATTTGATGGACGCCCAAATTTGTCTGTTATTGGCTTCTTCAAATTGTTGGTTGGATTTGCTGGAAATTGATGGAGTTAAAATTTCAGTAAGTGAAAATATCCAGCTAATGACACAAATCCAAAAATGAAAGTCTTGTTTTTTTTTTCCTGTTTTTAGTTCAATATTAGCGCTCTTATTTTCGGACAGACGAAACGCGAGCCATTTTCTCATCAGGACTAACCTGTGGTCATAATGGCAGATTTGATTGCAGAAGGACTGAAATCGGGATTTCGGGATTTCACCAGCGCTGCAACTCCGCTAACATGGGGGCAGGCCATTGAAGTACCTGAGAGCAGATTGAAGGCTTCATTCGTTTCGTTGGAAGGCCATGCTGAGAGAATATCAACGCCTGGTGCTGCAACATCAGGCTGAAAAATGCAAATGGACAACACTTTGTGAATTTTGTAACACAATCTGTTTTAGCATCATTCTAAAACCACACTCTCAATCCTTGTACAACATATCCAAAGAAAAAGAGTAAATTAAGGAAGAAACTTCTCGAATTCACCTTGATCAAATAGCGATTGTCATCTAGAGTACCGCCTGGAGCTGAGAAATATGCCACAGCTGGAGCTGGCTTGTTATTCGCTTTCGCTACAGTCGGTAAAATCGTCGCCACAGGGTTCCTAAGGATCAATTTTTAAGATCTAAATATTCCACAAACAAAATGCTTGAAATATTCACACTTTTTTCGCGATCAAAAAGTATCTTAAATCACCTGGTTGAGTTGATATAAGCTAGAATCTGGTCTGAATCAGGATAGACTGGGATACAGGGAACACTACCACGAACAGAGTCAACTAGCTGATGAGAAAACTCGTCAATATATATCATTGCAATTCCTCCCAGACTTGTTATGGCATCAAACTGCGCGGATGTTGCATAATCTTCGCTCGGGTGACAAAGAACAATCTTCCCCTTGACTTTTTTCCCATCTAATGCATCCATCAAACAAGTACTGAAACAAATGTACTGATGATCAATCATTTCGTCTCAAAATAAGAGTCTTATTTGTTGAACGCACTACTTTTATCTTTATTAGTATTACCTTGCATCAGCTTCATCACCATCAGGTTTTTTAGCTAAACGGGCATCAATCAATGGGTAGATTGGATTCTTCTCAAAATTAGCAGAGTGAACACCTCCGCCCTGATATACACACATTCCGATAAGCATCAAACAAGTTCCTTATTTAGTCAGATTTGTTTCTTTTATGATTTTACTCCTTCCGTCCCAAAAATAAGCATTTGAACTATTCCCTACATCCCAAAATTATTGTCTAGTTTGGATTTTCACTACAATTTGAACTAAAATTTAAAATCCAAACTAGACAGTATTTTTGGGACGGAGTATGTTTTTTAGAAAGTTACCTTGATGACTTTATTGTTTCCCAAGACAACATCGGACTCGAAAAACCTGTCAATAGTGGTAGCACCTACGGTCAGAATCCAAGGATCATTATTCTCGATGTACGGAGAATGGTCACTGGCGGCACCGTCCCCTGCAGAGGCTACTACCAGAATTCCATTCTCAACAGCATGAAATGCTCCAATCGAAACCGGATTTGTTGAGAAATCAAACACGAAACTAGAACCAAAGGATAACGTCAGAATGTCGACCCCATCAGCTATTGAATCATCCATTGCTTTCAAAATGTCAGATCCGAAACAGTCCCCTTGATCGTCACAAATACGGTACACAGCGATCCTAGCTCCCGGAGCTCCTCCCTGCGCCGTGCCTTTAGCCAGGTCACCACGGAAGGATGCTCCGGGGACAGGCCTTCCGGCTGTAATGGCTGCGACGTGAGTGCCGTGGCCATTATGGTCCCTTGGGGAGTTTTCGTTTGGGACGTAATCCCTTGCTCCGATCAATTTCCTGATGCAGAACACAACTTAAATTCAGGAATCGTCAAAAAATAACCTTAAAACGAACATTTCCAGGGACTCGATCAGAATACCTGTTGCAATTGAAAGGCTTAAAATCATGTCCCTTTATGCATTGTCCCTTCCATCGGCTGGGGACAGGGCCCAATCCTTCATCACTGAAACTCTTCGCTTCTGGCCAAATCCCTGAATAAATCGCAGCCCATTTGAATCAATGAGATTTTTCTACAAAAACAGCTAGCTTTTTTTATGTATATCATGTGCATTTTTATATGGACCTGTATCGAAAACGCCAATGATAACATCTTCACCAGAAACAGAGGAAATGTTTGATGTTGGGATTTGACTGGTTTTTAATCCAACAACACTTTGTTCCTTCAGAAAGTCCCATGATCGCGTTGTGTGGATTCGATGGATTTGATCAGGGAAAACTGATACAACTTCAGGCCTTCGGGCAATTGATTCAGCCTCTTCTTTCGACAATCGTGCCGCGAACCCTGAAAATGCTTTGCTGTATGTGTGTAACACTCTGTCTTTCCAATCCCAACTGCAAAAAAATTAGAAGAATAAGCCGAAATGTAGTAATTATAATGCCAAAAAAGAAAGAATTTTTGTTCATTAATGTTGGGACCAAAAGACTAATTCATCCTATCTGACCTTTCTATGGAGGAAGAGCTCATAATATGATCACAGTGGTGACCATTTGATGAGGATGGAGCTGCTCCCGTGTACACGATGTATATGCCGTCGTTTTGATCTTTAGCTGCTAGTACCGACTGGATTGAAACGAGGAAGAGAGAAATAAAACAGAAGGAATTGGTGGCAGAAAAAATGTTCTTTGTTAGAGCCATAGTATGCATTATTTTTTTGGCTATAATGTTATATTGGGGTGCCAAAGATCAAGTTTCAAACCGCTGCTTTATATACACATCAAGATTCATGATTGGTTTTTTTATATGTAGAAAATCCAAAAAGGTTCCAATGTGGAGCCTCAATATAGTTGCCTAGTTGGTGTTAGATTGTTATTATTAAAATATGCAGACCCCAATTGCCATTGGGAAAACTTGCTGGTCAAAAATGGAGAACTCGTCACTTTTGTTCTTCAGGGAAAGAAAGAAGGAAAGTTTGGTCAGGGAAGCCAATTGGAAAAATCGTCCTTCTGAGAGATGCAAGTTGCAAGGTGCAGACTTCACTTTTGATAATGGTTTTAAATTTAAATATTCCATCCTTTGCAAAAAACAATGAGACTAGAAACGGTGACATTTTATTATGACAGAAAGGGCATAAACACAACACATTACGAAAGCGAACCCCAAGAAAATCTCCTTTCCTACAACCAATAAAATAGGACAACTAAACAAGCAAAATAATTCAAGAACTGATAAAATAAAGGAGGCACACGAATTTACGTGGAAACTCAAATCGGAAAAAATCACGGGACTGTAACAGCAGTCAAATCTCCACTATCACAATAATGGGAAACAATCTTCACCAACCGGTGGATACACAGGACTTCACCCAAAGGTGGATTGCAATAATACTCTTCCACACACACACCTATCACAAAGTAGGACTGGAAAGATCTAACTGAAAGAGAGTTAAACCGAAAACTAAACCTTAACTTTCTTTCTATTTCTCTCGCATAGAACCCTGCGTAGCTGCCCTAATTTTCCTTCTCTCTCGGCTGAAAAACATGCACAAATTGTGCACAAAGCCTTGCTTTTATAGGCATAAAAAACAAAACCCAAAACCCAATAGAAGTGGGTTTTCTTTTCTCGGTCAAACACCCCAAAACCAAAGCCTAGTTAGGCTTGGTTTTATTTTTCCTTGTTGTTGCTGGCCCAATTGAGGAGAACGGCCATCCCAACAATCTCCCCCTTTACCTCAATTAAGGGTAAAACTAAACTGGCTTCCTGTCTGCAAAGCAAGAGCTTCTTTCTACTCACAGTCTTCGTCAACATATCGGTACAGTTGTCACCCGTATGGATCTTCTCAAGAAACAATGCCTTGAACTCCAACACATCCCGAATCCAATGATATCTCACATCAATATGTTTTGACCGCGAAAGAAATGTAGAATTCTTAGCTAAGTGAATAGCGCTCTGACTATCACAATACACCACATACCTCTCTTACTTCATGCGAAGCTCTTGTAGCAACTTCTGCAACCAAAGTGCTTCCTTACAAGATTCAGTAGCTGTGATAAACTCTGCCTCTGTGGTAGACAAAGCAACACACTTTTGCAACCTACTCTGCCATGAAACTGTTCCCCCTCCATAAGTCATCAAGTATCCAGAAGTAGACTTCCGACCATCAAGGTCACCGCCATTTCAGCATCTGTATATCCATCCAACATAGTTTTCCCATTACCAAAGCAAAGACTCAATCTGGAAGTACCCCTAAGATACCTGAGAATGCATTTCACAGCATTCCAATGCTCCTTACCAGGATTGGAGAGAAACCGACTAACAACACCAACTACATGAGCTATGTTTGGCCTTGTGCAAACCATCGCATACATCAGGTTGCCAACTTCCGAAGCATAAGGAACCTTTTTCATCTCTTCCTTATCTTTCTCACATTTAAGACACTGCGTTTTGCTTAGCTTAAAATGCCCTGCAAGTGGAGTCGAGACTTCCTTAGCACCGCTCATGTTAAACCTATCAAGAACCTTCTCGAGATACCCAAAGCTTCTCATTCTGTCTGTCACGAGAAATCTTCATCCCAAGGATCTGTCTAGCCGGACCCAAATCCTTCATCGCAAAGGACTTATTCAACTCCCTTTTCAACCTGGCAATCTATGCAGTATCATGACCAACAATCAACATGTCATTGACATAAAGCAAAAGAATTATAAAATCACTATCAAAGAATTTCTTCACAAACACACAGTGATCGGCTGTAGTCCTTTGGTATTCCTGCCCTATCATAAAGGCATCAAACTTCTTGTACCATTGCCTCGGAGCTTGCTTCAACCCATACAAGCTTTTGTTGAGACGACATACAAGCTTTTCTTTCCCCTTCTCCTGAAACCCATCTGGTTGCTCCATGTAAATCTCTTTTCCAAATCACCATGCAAAAAGGCTGTCTTCACATCAAGCTGTTCAATCTCTAGATTCAAACTGGCCGCTATCCCAAGCAAAACTCGGATCGAAGATATCTTTACAACAAGAGAGAATATCTCATCAAAGTCTACGCCCTTTCTCTGATTGAATCCCTTCACAACTAATCTAGCTTTGTACTTCGATTGTGAGCTGTTCTCACTTGTCTTCAGTCTGAACACTCATTTATTCTTGAGTGCTTTTTTGCCCTTAGGCAGCTTCACCAAGTCATACGTGTTATTCTCACGCAAGGATTTGATCCCATCTTGTATGGCTGCTAACCACTGATCTTTCTGCTCATGACTAAGAACCTCTTCATACGACTCTGGCTCTCCCCCATCAGTAAGCAACAAATACTCATGAGCATTGTACCTGGTGGAAGGTTTCTTGTCTCTGGTGGACCTCCTTGGCTGGACAGTAGGTGATGAAATCGGTGGTGTCTCTGTTTCAGAAGTAGGATCATCATCAAACTCACCATTCTGCTCTGTCTCAGCTCCTCCTTCAGGAGAATCATCTGATTGTGGAGGAACTAGATCTAGATCAACAGGAATCTCAGGTGAAGATTCTGGCATCTCGTCATTTCCCATATCATCAATGGTCTGGTCTTCAAAGAAAATCACATCTCTGCTTTTGAAAACTTTCTTCTCTACAGGATCCCAAAGTCTGTACCCAAAATCATCATTGCCATGGCCCAAGAATATACACTACTTGGATTTTCCATCAATTTTTGACCTTTCGTCTTTGGGAATATGAACAAAGGCACGACAACCAAAAACTCGCAAATGTCCAAATGAGACATCTCTCCCTGTCCAAACTCGTTGTGGTAGATCACCATCCAACGGAACTGAGGGAGATAGGTTGATCAAATCTACTGCTGTCATGGCTTCACCCCAAAAAGATTTAGGCAGCTTTGCATTCAAGAGCATACATCTAACCTTTTCGTTAATAGTTCTGTTCATTCTTTCTACCATGCCATTCTGTTGCGGAGTCTTCAGAACACTCTTCTGAAGTTTAATGCCATGGTCTTGGCAATACTTCTCAAATGGACCCCCTGTACTCACCACCATTATCTGCTCGAACACACTTCAACTTCTTGCCAGTCTCTCGTTCAACTCTAAGGTGGAAGTCTTTGAACACATCTAATACATGATCTTTAGATTTCAAAAAAAAACACCAAACCTTTCGAGCATAGTCATCAATGAAAGTAACAAAGTACAATGCTCCACCCAACGACCTATCTTTCATGTAACATACTGATAAGTCTTGAAATTTCATGTTATTTATGGGTATTTGTGTAGTATTTTGGATTAGATTGTGCACTTATATTGTGTATTTTAATGTTTTTGGTTCTTAGGAGTGATTGGAGCTGAGATTGAGAAAAATGTTCCATAAACACACATTTTTGGAGCATTTTGACTAAGAAGCACAAAAAGGGAGCAATGACATCACATTCTCGTGTGGGAACACGAATCTCAGTCCAAAATTGAGCTTTAGAGAAGAAATTCCAGCTTTGATGCTGCATTCCCGTTTGGCCAAACCGAAACAGGGACTAAAATGAAAAATAAAAACAGTTTTGGGGTCAAAATATAATTTTACCAAACTTGAGGGACCAATTTACAAATCTCGGAAGAGTTAATTTGCTGCTGCGGATTTCTAAAGGGCTGCTGCGGCTGACCTACTTGTTCCCATATAAATTGATTTTATTCTTTTCTTTTGGAGGGGGGCTGAACGTGAGAAGAAGAAGAGGAGGCTGGACTGGTCCTAAGCCACCTATCTAGCCCTTTTGGGCGTTATTCTTCCCCCATTCTCCATAGTTTTATTTCAGTTAGGCTTTATTATGTGTAATTAAATTATTTTTCTAGTTGAAAGATATTGAAATCTTGGTTTGAATAGTTGTGAGATCTAAATGTTGTTTCTCTCTCAATTTCTTGTGAGTATTTGCTTGTTCTATTGCATGATTGATATGATTATTATGGATTCATGAATAGCTGGTAGCATTCGATGCTTCTTAATAATCTAAAACTAATAAGACAACAAGGTTTGTTGTTTAATTAGGGTATAATATAATTTAATTACTTGGTAAGTGATTTTGTTATATTATTAGAACAAGTAATCTGGTTTTTTATTAAACAAGGTTTGTTTCATAGGAATCAGAATTGGGTCTTTGTACTTAATGCAGTCGTTTTCTTAATCTTAGGAGGTTCCAGGATTGAATTTCGACTAGTGTGTTTAATGAAGGTTAATCACTAAACTTAGTTCAAGATTGAGTTGTTAGGAGGTTCCAACAACGAAAACTAATTTGCCTATAAGTAATTGAGCATATCATTGCATCTATGATCAATTGTCTAGACCAAGGTGGATATAAAATCTTTTGACTAGAAACTTTCTCATAATTTGCTTTCATTTTTTTTAACTACCATTTGAATTTTATTTTAACTACATTTTAGTTTTAAAAACTCAAAACCCCCCTTTCGGTTACTTATTTGAAAGAAACAAATCCACCATTCCCTGAGGAGATGACCTTGCTTTCCTATGCTATTAGTTTGAAAGTATGTTAAATTGTTCGTTGGCTTGACACCCCACCAAAATGGCACCGTTGCCGGGGAACGGTGTTCATTGATTTGTTTCTTTTTTTTTGTTGGTTTTGTTCTGTTTATTTTGCGTATCTACCATGGATGCATATGGGCAGCAGTTTTTGGACCAACACGATGGTTTTAATTGGAGTGCAAAAGAGGTACATGTTTCATCTA